TTTATTTTGGATATTCCCCTTGGAACTTTGTGAAAAATTGCCATGAAGTTAGGTCAAAAATCTGCCTAACTAGGGCAAAATTTCATCAAGTCTTTTTTAGTTCATGAGCATGTATTCACAAAATTATAACTTGAGATCCAAGCACTTTTGGAATAACATGTGTGAAGAAAAGTTATATATTTCATGGATATATACAACTTTCATGTTGGAAGTTTCCTTTGAATCATCTTGTATCATAATAAAAAAATTGCTGAAAGTTATGAAAAAATAAGAAATTTTCAACACTTAGAGAAAATTTCTAAGTTTAGAAATTTTGACTTTTCAAAATGAAATCTTGATTTCTTGATTTCTTGATGAATAAGTTTCCTATTTTGACATGTTTTAGTTAATTGTGATCTTTGGCACTTGAATTTGACCAAAAAGTCAGAGTTTGATTTTTCAGCATACAGTTGACTTTTGATCAGTTGACTGCAAAATTCATCTGTCAATCCAAAGGATTTTCAATGTTTTGAATCATGTCATTAGTTTAAAATCATCCAATTGGTATCTTGAGATCATGCCTTAAACCAATTGACCATTTGCTAGGTCAAAAATCAGAAATTGCCCTTTCCCAATCAAAACCCTAATTTTGACCATTTTGCCCTTTTGGAGATTTGATCAAATTTCTTGAGGAATTGTGGTCTAAACTTCATCAAATGATACATATGAGTCTAAAATGTTTATGTGGATAAAAAATTGTGAAGTTTGACTGTAAATTGGCCATAGTTGACTTTTTCCCCAATATAGTTGATTTTTAGGTCAACTATTCAATTGATTGATCAAAAGTGTGATCCAAGGCTTGAAACTTGACATGAATAATCTTGGGGGTCCATAATGATCCATGCAAGTCATATGAAGCATTGATAGTTCAAAAATCCTTGTGCAAACTCAAACCCTAATTTTGGTCATCAGTGCATAAGGAGGTGTCTTGAGTTGATCAAACCCTAGTGCAGTCTTGAGCCCAATGAGATCTTCTGAGAAAAATCTTGATAAGTGAGAGGGAAAATTTTGGGGTACAACACCTTGTAATAGTTAGAACTTTAATTTCTCGTACTTTTAAACTTTCGCAAATATGAATTGTCTAGATGTATGGATAATAGGCTTGCATGCAAAAGACAAATGAAATTAGAACAGTAGATCACCTTAATTATGCAAAGATTAAATAAACTGAAATCAAACACGTGCACATACTCACTCCTAGGGTTTTCCTCACTTTGTTTTCCTTCGGTAAATGGTCATGAAGCATAGGGAATTTTAGTGGTCGCCCTCTAGTCCCAAAAGATCAAAAATGACCCATTTGAATGTTGCCTCGGAAAGATCTTTAAGACTCTAGGGTAACTACTAAGGTTTCCTAACCATTGCTTCAGTGACCGTAATTGTCCCTTCGAATGTCCCTTAAAACTCCAACGATGGGGCTACCTACTTGCTCAAAACAATAAAAAACTCTTAAGTACTTGCTCAAAACAATAAAAAACTCTTTTACACGAACACTTTCAAAATAGTTTTCAAAAACAACTTCGTCACACTCTTGAAGACAGATACAAGGGTTACCACGAAGTTAAACAAAAACCTTTCAAAACACACACAAGCAATTTCAAAATGTGCAAGTACCTAAGAGTCCGTGGAAAACCATGGATAGAAAGGGTGTTAACACCTTCCCTTTCTATAATCTACCCCCTGTACTCATAAAATCTAGAAAAAGGTTTTTTCTGTTCTTTTTTCCTTTTCCTTTGTTGGATGAAATAAAAGTCGGTGGAGAATCTTGCTTACCGCAACATTTGCGAATACAAAATGCAAACCAGTATAATATTCGGTTCTGCCATCGTATCATAGATGCAATGCCATGTCGAATCATTTTCAAGGAAATCACATGCTTTTAATTTTGATTCTGATCCAGTAAGAGATGGACAAACACAACATAATGTTCACAAGCATGATTATTTGGAAATAGAAAGAACATGTGTGTTAACTTTTTCTCCATGCGTACATTTTTTAACATTTCTTTTATAAAAGGTAAATATGATATAATGCAAGTGAAATACCATAGGTTCGAAAGTTCAACATAACAACTGTATAATCCTCTAGGTAACTGTTGTATCAATCTGCTGAATAATTGTTGTATAGTTTCTGAACATGCTGAATATATCAGGATCAAAGGTCCAGAACATAACCAAAGAACCAGGTCACCAACAAAACATACGGTCACCATCAAAACAAATAGTCACCACTTACACCTGTAATAATCAAGTCCCTCCCCCTCAAGGGTAAATACTAGGTCAGGGTAGGTCAAAGGTAACTCAAAATAGCGAGTCTGCCTGAAAGTACTACCGCCTTACCCACAGACATGGGTGTCGATAGTAACTCATTTGAACCTCATCTGAGCATGGTATATGACATGACTGCACTAGTCGGACCACGTCGTATAGCAGTCATGTCCCCACTCTATTCTAGTGTCCTAGTGCACTCTAGCCTGGGTACCGGGCCTTTTACCTTAATAGTAACACCCACCCAACATGGATAACCAGGAACGAGCACAACAAATAGGCAATATTGAAAGCAATAAAATGTAATGCAGATATATGCTCAGATAATCATGTACAAATGAATAAATTGAAAGCATAAAAATAAACACCCAAAGAAAAGAAAACAAGAGCTAGGATCGACTCAGGGATGGACCAGCAATAGGTCAACCTGTCCCCAGTGAAGTCGTCGGCTGAAACAATCGGCTGAACAATCAACTGATAATGAAATCAATGAATTCTCCATCGAACATTTTTATCCCACATGAAGGGAAAGGTAAATATCGAGTAAACTTGAAAAGGGTGAAATCACGATCAAACGACCGAGAGATTGGGTAAGGGAGTCAGTTATGTGAGGGGAAGGCATTAGCACCCCACACGCCCATAGTACTCTACAGTATCCACTCTTGTTGTCTATCTTATGGGTATGTTAGAATCTATATCTAGGCTTAAGAGCTAAAAGAAAATGAAAAAAGGGAATCCATGCAAAAGAAAAGAGAAACTAATGGAGGGAAAAATAAAGTTGTGCTCGTTCGGGCCCTATCCCAATGCCTATGTATCCCTTTTAAGGAATCAGAGCAACTGTAGTTCGAATAACATATTTTGGTCTATTTATCTTTTTTAATGAACAAAGTTAAATTCAATCATTCCACCGATGCTCGACCATTGGAAACTCACGCATATGTAGTGGAAAGGAAATAACATGCTCTCACCTAAACAGGTGTTTTCAAAAGAAAAGGTGCCCGAAGGCGGATGATGCTACATTTGTGATTCTTAGCAAGTAGACATGATGCAACCTGACCCTTGGGGAATTACGCGTTGTGTTTCACAGAGTAACAAAATAACACATCCTCTTCAAGCTCTGATGAAAGGCGCGAAGGCGGAAAAAAGTGTGTATTGGTTAATATCTTTTACCTTAAATAAGGATTTGGAAGTTGTTAGATGTTTTATGCATTTTTAAGAAAAGAGTTTTAGTCTTAAATGCAAGGATGAAAAATAAAGAAAAACATCTAAGGGAGACTATCTAGTTCTATCCCTAATGTTATCATACAATGTTTGGTCCTATGGTTGAGGATGAAAAGGGAAATTTCTACCCTATGTTAGCATGCATAGATACCTATCCTAATGTCTAGCTCGAGAGTTACTCTAATCGAGCGATCATAAGGGAAGCATGGTATAGCAAGAAAATAAGCAAACAAGTGATTTAGAAAAATCACACAATCATGAGTAACATATACTGACTCAAAGGGATGGGGGAAACAAGAGAAATGCTTTAGCTAAGGGGAGCGGATCACCCGAAGCAAACAAGCGGGAGACAGATGAAATATGAAAAACACGGATCATCAACATCGTCCAACGTGAGATCAAGACAAAATGTGGGGGTTTTATTATGAATCCCTTCCCCACTTGACGGACTCGATACACAAGATCTGCACAACTTCGAAGCATCGACGTACAACGTGAGCTAAGGATGACAGGGACTAGAATATGAGGGGGTCGATTACGGACCCTCCTTGATCGCCTCCTTTTGAGGACTTATCATCTATGATATAATGAGGGCACAAATGTAAACACACGTGCAACATACCTACTTCAAAGGTAGGATTTTAAACAAACACAATTAGCATGCAGAAAGCGGTGCCTCCTACAGGACTTTAAACATCGACTTCGAGCGCACACTCTTTATTTCCTGCTTCCTACTTCACATGATCTCTATAAAGAAATAAATGTCCCTACTATACAAGATCTCTAGAAAGCGGTAAATGTTGAAATAAGGTAAACAAGAGAAAATACCAAATGAACAAAAGTTCATAGCACAGCTAGCAAAGCAGAGAAACCCAGAAAACATTGAGTAAGCTTCACCAAGCAACGGAAAAGAGTAAGAGATCAAATGCCTGAAATAAGTGTCGAAGCATCATCGATGTGAAAATAAATCACAATCCAAATCTCAAACATATCCGCATATCACACAATAAACCTGCATAAGACTCAAATCTCAACAAACAAAGGTGAATTACAAATCTCAAGTAACCGAATAATCGGGATTTTAAAAAAAACCTAACATTTTCTATTAATGTTTTTGTTATTTTTCTTATGTGAAACAAATAATATTTCGTGCAAAAATATTAATAAAAATTCAAAACAATCAATAAGAAAGCTAAAGAAAAAAATAGCAAAAACTAAAGACTCAGGGGTGAACTGCTTAAACAAGTAGTACGGAGAAGAAATATGGCGCATGGCCTATGCACTCAAGCCTAATTTGCTTGGATCCAATAGCATATTTTTTGTGTACAATCCAAAAAAAAACTGTCAACAAATTGATGATGGGCCAACAGAGGATCTGTTGGGGGTTCGGTCTAATTCCATTCAACATAATCTACATCAAACTTTTGTGATTTTCCCAATTCCACATGAAAAAAACCCTATCTTCTTTCTCTGTGAATGATACCTTCCTCTTCTTCGCCGCATCATTGCTACAATTCATCTCTCTCTTCGTTTCAATCTATAAAGACCTCCAGAAACCATCTTCACCATATCGGTGGCATCGAAGCATGGCATCTCCCTATAAAAATAAATTGTACCATACTCGTTTCCTTGCTAAGAGTCTCGATTCAGAGTCAATTTCCCAAAACCAAAACCTTAGGGGTTCTCAAATCAGAAGAGGGATATGTAAACCCTAAACTGGAATCTAGTCCCAATCATTCAAAGATTCGCGCTATCAGCGTTTGGATGAGTGCTTACAAGCCATAATCAATAATGATTTGAGTGAAAGGCATTGATAGTCAAAGGACTCAGGCTTACCTACTGGAAGTGGACTCTTATGATTCTTGATTCCAGAGACGTGACGAGAACGGAATCCAGCGATAACTCCTAAGCTTAGGTACACCTCCTTATATGATTTCTAACACTAGATTCTACGTTCTTCTTATTCTACCTTTTCTGTATTTCTGAATTACGATGTTGTTGTTGCGTTTATAATGCGGTGTGTTGATGAAGATTTAAATGGCCGAAATAGTGAAGGTGTTGCTGATGCATAAGAGAAGATTAAAGAAGATGGAATATTGACGTTACACTGCGAAGTCGCAAGGGCGATGATGATTGAGGCGCAACAAGAGGTTGTTGAAGAGTGAATTTACAATCAAGAATGATTATGGTGATGAAGGTTCTGTAGAGGAAAGTGATAGAGATTTTAAGATGAAGATACAGTGAGAGATAGTAGTTGTGCATGGAAGATAAAGATTGCAGCAGTGATGAAGGTTCTTGAAGGTTGAAGCCGAGAAATGAGAGAGATTTTTTGGGTGTTTTCAGTTTGTGGTGATTCTCCAAGAATGTGAGAATGAAATGAATCTGTAAGTTTTTCTGTTATATAATCTGTTTGAGAGTTTGTTAGCAAAATCAGTTAGCTTTGTTAGAGATTTTATTGGTAATGTAAGAAGTTGGTTAGGTTGGTTAGGAATTTGTTATGAATTATAAAGTTAGTTATAGGCATTCACTATTAGATCTTGAGTCTGCTATCCTGTTATCACTTTGTTAGAGCTCGCTTTTTATTTTCCACGGTCTTGCCCCAGTCTTCTTCACATTATTTCTCATTTTTTACTATTTTTGATATGCATTAAGTCCAATTTGCTCTGGTTCTTCTGATTTTCTAACTTTTGCTATGAACAAGGCTGTAGGTTATTTTCAGTTTGGAATTTTTTGTGTTCATCAACTGCATATTTTGAGTATACATCCCAATTGGTCTCAGCAAAATAATTCACGAGCTTTATGCCGCTCCAACTTGCTGAATTAGGTTATTTGTTGTTGGTTTACATTGAAGTTATGATTGAAGCTTAGGACTGAAAATAATAGGCTGACTGTGGTTTTTGTGTAGTCTTTCAGGTTGAAATCATAGTGCACGGTGCAAGAACAACTTAATGTATCCTACAGCGGGTCATGTATCACAGATGCCAATGAGCTGGACGTATTGGTTCGATGGCTCATAATAGTAGCAGCAAGTTTGTAGAAAGATATTATGTGAAATTCCTTGTAATGATGTAATTATACTTTGTATTCCATCCATATGGACTTTGAATGTATTCAACTTTCAAAACTTGTGATGCAATTTGTGATTGTCTTTGAATTTAAAAAAACATTTCCCTCCCTTTTGAATTTAATCTTTTGAGCACCTTCTTCCATTAGCAACTTGAGATTCCACTTTTTCCCTCTTCAAATTTTGAATGAAAATAAGCTGATTTAAGCATGACTTTATAATGAGACTTTCATGTAAATAAGGATTGAAGTTAAAAACAAAATTTGTACGCTTTGAATATGTTGACTTTTCACTTGAATATGGACTTGAAAAGAACGAAATACTCCCCTCCCTAATTTAAACTTTCAAATCCTTTTCTACATGCCTCCACTTGAAATGAACCATACTCTTTAACTTTACCTTTGAAAATTTTAGTGAGCTCATGGATGATAAGATGAAAGAACCACCAAAAGCCAAAACTTGCACAAATGTTTTTTAAACTTGACAATTAACCCACAATGACTCCACATGAACCTATAATCTTGCATAAGCCCGAAACCCTTGACTTGTGATCCTAGTAACCCAATAATCAACTTTGAATGATGATAAGGATCCATATGAAAACCTCAATATGAAAAGTACACCACCTCAGAGTTATACCCCAAGCATTAAATGAATAAGATCCTCGGTTAAAACCCAAGTATCAATAAATCACAACCCTAATTCACTTTCTCATTTCTTGAAGAAGAAATCAACCTTTATTGGATATATTCATCTCAGCTGGTGACAACCCTAACTTTCACAATCAACTGATCTTTTGAACCATGGCACTTTATTGAATGTTATGTTATGTTAATGACCTAATGGTATATATGCAGACGAATGCAAAAGTCTAAGCCAAATAAAGATACAATTAGTAGGGAAAATTTTTGGGTACAACAATATGTCTCTGTTGTACCCAATAATTTCCCCTCTCACTTATCAAATATTTTCTCACAAAGATCTCTCGGTTCAAGACTGCACTAGGATTGATCAGCTCAAGACACCTCCTTAAGTATTGATGACCAAAATTAGGGTTTGAGATTGCACAAGGATATTTGAACTTTCAATGCTTCATATGACTTTCATGGATCATTATGGGCCCCCAAGATTACTCATGTCAAGTTTCAAGCCTTGGATCACACTTTTGCTCAGTCAATTGAGCAGTTGACCTAAAAATCAGCTGTATTGGGGAAAACGTCAACTATGGCCAATTTATAGTAAAAATTCATAATTTTTTATCCACATTAACATTATAAACTCATATGTATCATTTTATCAAGTTTGGATCACAATTCTTCAAGAAATTTGATCACATCATCAAAAGGGCAAAATGGTCAAAATTAGGGTTTTGATTGAGAAGGGGCAATTTCTGATTTTTGATCTAGCAAGTGATTAATTGGCTTAAAGCATGATCTCAAGAGTTCAATTGCATCATTTTGACCTAATGGCATGACCTAAAACATTGCTCAAGATCAATTGGATTGATAGTGAATTTTCAGTCAACTGATCAAAAGTCAATTGTACACTGAAAAGTCAAACTTTGACTTTTTGGTCAAAATCCAATGTCAAAGATCAAAATTCACCAAAACATGTCAAAATATGAAACTTATTCATCAAGAAATCAAAAAAATCAAGATTTCATTTTGAAAAGTCAAAGTTTTCTAACTTAGAAATTTTTCTAAGTGTTTAAAACTTCATGTTTTTTCACAACTTTGAGCCAATTTTTCACCATGATGCAAGATGATTCAAAAGAAACTTTCATCATCAAAGTTGTAGATATCCATGATATCTACAAAATTTCTTTACACAACTTCTTCTAAAAATTCTTGGATCTCAAGTTATTAATTCATAAAGTCATGGTCTTGAAATTGAACACTTGGTGAAATTTTGCCCTAGTTTTAGTCAGAATTTTGACCTTACTTCATGGCACTTTTTCATATAGTTCCAAGGGGAATTTTCAAAAGTTATTCAAAGAGGTGTTGTAGAGAACATTAAAAGCTTTCCAAAAATTTTAAGAACTCCTTGAGATCATTTATGAGCAAGGAGAATCGAAGAGATGGAGTTAGGGTTTTCAAACTTAAATTACAAGCCATTTCATGATGAACAAAAATTCAAATCCAAGCCTAGGGAGCATAATATTTGCTTTGCAGACCTCAAACTTGTTTGTCACTCCATAATTAAATGTTTACATAGCTGATAGAGCTTTAATCCAAGCACTTGAGCCTTTATCCAAGTTACATTTCCATTTATGGCACAAAGTTGCCATTTCCATTTTGATAAAGCATCACTTTTGCAATTGTCAACTCCTTGAGCTTTGAACTTGTTCTTTCTGCATACACAACCCCTATAAACCAAAAGCAATGTGTCTAAATCCTCTTTGAACTAATAACATGCTTGTACAACACTTTGAGATTTGTCTTCTCACTTTTCTTCAAAAGCAAGTCATAGACCCGAAAGGCTAGAACTCAGAAACCTTGAGTGCATTTTATCTCTAACCTTTTCCATACATATACACAAGTCTATTGAAACATAACACACAAATTCTAAGACCCCAAAACACTCACAAGCACTCTGCAACTCAGGATCTGCCTTAACTTGACAGTTTTGAACCTCACATAGCCATCTCCAAATCCACTCGTGCGTATTGAGTTTTAACCATCCAAACACTTAATATACATCATATCAAAGTGATCCAGACCCCTGTTTCTTGACTGTAACTCCTCAATCACCATCCACCATTTCCAAATTTGAAGCTTGCAACTTGACTTAAGTTGGGAGTTTCAGTCATCCTCAAAGCAAAGTAGGAGTTGGAACACACTCAAGGAGGTCCAGGCAAGCTACAGAAATCATCAGGCCATCATAAAGGTTGCTCAAACTCCATACACGACTCCAGCTACAAGAGGTAAGTTTTCAAACTTTTATCTCCTCATACAGGAATCATTTGATTTTGATTTGTGAAGATAAAATTTAGATGCCATTACCACGAAGCTGTACATATCCATAGTTTGAATTTATATGGCCTGAGCTTAGAGAATTTTAGAGTTGAAGTTTTCTGAAATTTTTAGGTTTTAAATTAGGGCCAGAAAAATTCTCATTCATCTTTGACTGTTAGCTTAAGTTATTTACATGGTTGGATTCGTTGGAAGAAATGCCACAACTTTCATGTTTGAACTTTTCATTTTTATTGAGAGATGAAGAAGTTACAGATCCTTTGGCTAGAGGTTGAAGATGAAGTGTAATCAGGGCACGTTTTGTGTTATGTATTTATCCTTTCACTCAAGTTAACGGATGTATCACCACCCCAGTGGTTAAAGCGCGCTCCTGTCACCCTTAGGTCCTGGGTTCAAGCCCCAGCGTGACCTTTTGTTATTTTTCATTATATTTTGACATTTTTGAGTTTTTTTTGCAGCGCTTGGGCCTTTGTGCTGGACCTCCCATTTTTGCTGACTCCTAACCTTGATTTACTTCAGCACCCCCTTGGCCTATTTTTTTTAATTATTTCATTTTTCTATTTTTTTTATTTTATCATATTTTAGTTTCTTTATTGTTTTTATTATTTATTATTATTAATATTATTATTATTTTTATTAATAAAAATCCAAAAAATATTTTATTTATTATTCATACTTATATATTTTATTTTCTCTATAAAACAAAAAGATAAAAAAAAAACATTTTCTTAAAACAAATTAATTTTTTTTCTTAAATAATTAATCTTTAGACTTAGGTTAAATTAGTATATTATTTTATTTTCTAGTTAAAATTAATTTAGAATTTAGGTTTATTTTAATTAATTAATATTCATATTATTTTTATTAAGTTAAAACCTTTTCATAAATAAAAGCCTAAAATACATTTTTAACTTAATTTCCTTCTTAATTAATTTATGTTTAATTTTTTGCTCATTAATCATTTTCTTTAATTAGGTCAAGACAAAACCCCTTTCTTAAAAAACAACAAAAATCATTTCTTTTTCCATTTATATTCTTGCATTTTATTTTCAATTTCGTACAATATTCAATATGGTTGTAATAGATAATTAGGTTTAATTTTCTTGCAAACCCCATTTGTAAATTTGTACACCCCATCCCCTAATGATGTAATAGCGTAGTAATTTTACTTTTCGCAATTTATCGCTTTATATAAATGCTAGTAATTAGGGTTTGTATGAGAAGAT